ATTCCATTAGGTCCCCCAGACCTGTCCAGCGCAGATACTCCTGTATGTATGTGTGTGTGTGTGTGTGTGTGTGTGTGTATCCCGTCTCGTTCCCTCCGTGGAACAACTGGAACCGAGGGGGGCGGTTGTCCAGAGAACAACCGGCCCTCTTGGCCCAATTGTCCCCTGGATACCAATCACACACACAAACGCACCTACACAGACATCAACACAGCAGTTAGTCCACAATCCCATAGATATTGGTCAGAGCTTCCCTGATTACATGCACGGATAAACTACTAGGCTGGTAGAGGTGCGCATTGCGTAGGGTCTTCTTGCCCACTCTCCAGCATGCTCCTGCAGCAAAGCCATTCTCCATCATTGCTGGTACAATCTTTGCGATTTCATTCGCAGCGCTCTCCGGATCTGAGCAGATCATGAGGATCTGCGCGACTTGTGTCGTGATAATCTGCAGCGATTGCTTGATGCTCCTGTTAGACTTAAACTTCATGAATCTGCACGGAGAGAAGCCTAGGTCAGTGCGCTTGTCAAACTGGGAGGTGATGTAGGTGCCTTCGATCGGCGATGTGACTGTGATGGTCATGCTGAGGAAGTTGGCCACGTAGCCGATTCCATCCTCGTGCACCTCGGTGTTCTCCTTTATCTCAATAAACTGGTCCGGATAAACCCAGCAGGGATCATTCGGATCCCTGTCCCCGGACTGGCGCAGGAAGCTACTGATGACTGCGTTGTTGATGGCTCCTAAATCGTCGATGTATCTGAAGGTACTCTCGAAGTACGGGATCAGATGGGCATTCCCCGTGTCCACCAGCCTCATCATGGCATGAAACTCATACTTAAAGAAGTATATGCCACACCAAATTGGGGAACACGCGAGTCCCATGGGGATACCTTTCACCTGCCGCCAGACGTAATCGCCCATCCGTAGCACGTTGTTCGCAATGCACCAATCCGCGATCTAGTAGATGTCGGTTTCTCTGAACAGGAGTGATCCGTCCTCCTCCGGTTGCTCGGAGTCCACCCATGACGGCCAAGGTTTCCCGCAGTCCCCGATCGTGATTCGAATGGCATGGCTGGAACTCCTCTCCCTCCTCACCTGCATTGCGCATTGCACATAGAACTTGATCGCGGCGGGGAGGCTATTTTCTTAGCCATCCGTTGGGATCGTCTCAAAGCACCTCGTGATGTCGGCGGTGAACACCGAGTAGATCTTCTCCGACAAATTCGCGCAGAATTCCCCGACAGAAGCTATGGCCCACCATAGATTAGGTCTAACACCATATTGCTCCTCTATCTCCGCGCTCCTCTCCCGACAAAAAGTTTGTACTAGCGGGAGCAGGAATCGCAGAAGGCAAGCGCAGACCTCCGCTGCAGGAGAAATGATGGAATTCGCTGTGTTCGTAATCCACCTGAAGGTGCCCTTTTGCGCCTTCAGCACTGTCATGAGATATGGGAGCGCAGCAGGTGCGACTGGAAGCGCCGACAGAGCAGAGAGTTATCCACGAGATGACCGCCGATGGAGGCATGCCGATGCAGGCGAATTCAGGGCCCGATAGTCTCTGGAAGGCAAGCTTCCGGATGAAGTTTTTGCATACGAATGTCGGAGTGTTGGGCGCTTTATCCGTCAGACAGATGAGGAATCTGCCCGTGATAAAGTCCAGCTCCCTCTTGAAAGTAGGATGCTCGAATGGTTCAGCTACCGCGTGCTTGTGCGCTGCTTTGAACTTACCCATCCTCGCCCTCCCTTTCTTTACAATAATCCTCCGTAAAAATGATTTAGAGGACTCCGTGAGCTCCCGCAGTTCCATCACGCTTGCGAAGAGGTTGTCCAAAAAACGGTCCAGCTCCACGATAGCCTCCTCTACATCCAGAGCCATCAGCGGGATATGGTTGAGACCTGCATTGATAATGCCTTGTAGCAGGGGTTTATCTGTGATCGAAGAGTCCAGGGTGATGACATGCGTGCACCCCTCATAGCGGAGCAGCTCGATTGACCAGTTGCTTCGCATGTCCGAGTACGTGCGAGTTCTGCATGGGCATTGCTCGGGGTCATCGCTGTCCATCCATTGCGATAGATCGAACTCACAAAAGACCTCAGCTGGTCTACACAGCTTGGAGGAGATGTTGGCGTTGTAGGTCCATCCGATTCTAGTACGTTGCAGCCAGCTCGCAGTGTCGTCCCCTATTACCCTGCTGAGGACCTCGTTCACCAGTCTTCTGACGGAAAGCGGCTCCATGACGCGGCTAGTGTACTTTAAGTGTAGAAAATCGTCACACTCGAACTTCTCCCTTCGCCATGTCCTTCTGCCACTAGGTGAGGTGACCATCTGCCCAGGAGTGTACACCCATTTGTTTGAATCCTGCGCTTACAGGTACAAGACGAGAAGAGCGTTGGAGAAAGGAGCCACGGGTAGGGGTAAAACAGAACACCAGAGATCATGATTAAACCAAAAAAGAGGGAGAGAAGGAGAGAGAAACGGGAGAAGGAGAGAAAGAAAGAAGAAAAAAGAAAAAAGAAAAAAAAACGAAAAACCGGGAAAAGGAAAAAGAGGGAGAGGGAAGAGAACGGCAGGGGGGAGCGAGCTTCGCAAGATCAGGGGAGCGAACAAAGGTGCCAATTCATCCGGTTTAGGTCCTCGTGGGACGCTTATTGGAGACAGCGGCCCCGCTTCTGCCCCTGCCCCTCCCACTTCCGTTCTTCTTACCCCTCCTTCCGTGTTGGGTAAGCGTGGACTGTGCGGATGTCTCCGATGAGATGTGGATGACAGGCGGAGGGGTGAGCCCCCTGATGTCGACCAGCGGGTGTAGGGAGGGGAGTGGGGGGGTCATGACGAGGTGCCAAGTTTGAGCAAACTGGGGTGATTGTTGTACCCCGGATGGGATGCGTTAACTTGCTGTACCGCACCAGCAGTCATCATCGGGGGGTTGGGCTGGAGGGGGACAGGAGGAGGGGGCGGGGGGGGAGGAGGAGGAGGAGGAGGAGGAGGAGGAGGTGCGTCGTCTGCAGGTTGGGTGCGCTGAAAATTGAGTGTGGTCTGACCCTGAACCTGAGCAGCGCGGTTCCTCTTTCGTGCTGCGGCGCGTGGAGAGCTGGGCGGCACTCTCGTTGGTTTTTCGGCAATCCGGGTGGGAAGCATGATGCGGGCAAGCGCTGCCGGAATGGGGTAGTTCCATAGGCAATCTTCCTTCTGTACGGTCTCCGCATTCAGAGTCGTATCTGCTTCTAGTGACTTGGTGAAGTTCATCATCAGGTCCCTAAGGAAGTGGAAACTGATGGCCACAAGAACTCCTCTCCACGTGGTCCGGAGGTAGTGGATGAGCATCGATGTTCGGATCTTGAGGACATGCCCGGAAAGAGGATGTTCGGATGAGCCAATAGGTACCATATCGCATGATTGAACCAGAGAGGGGTGTCCCCACAATCTTTATTCCTTTCTTTCTTGCATTTGCACTTTAAGTAGGGCCTCCCGACACTCCATACTTTCCTCAAGGTCCTAAGGTCGGGCTTACCTTCCTGCCTGATGCCCTTCTGCCACATTCCAGAGTTCGTCTTTCCGCACTTGTCAGGATCCAGCTCGCGCATGGGAGGAAATTTCAGATCCTGGGGATCCAACGGACTAACCCTCCCGCAGTACTTCAGTTTACCCTTTAGGATTTGTGCTCTACAGTGCTTAACCTGCTCATCCGTGACGTTTCCCAGGAACAGGAGCGCTCGAATGGAGATAGGTGCAAGATGGTTGAAGGTATCTATCTTCCAAATAGCATGCTTGAAGCCGGTGGATGTATGCTTGATCCAGTATGCTGAAGCAAGGGGTGCAAAAGCAGTATACTAGTCGCGTTTGATGGCATCACCCCCTGTTTTGTTGGATGCAGGTTTGGGAATCCCTAGTGGAGGCTCTTATGGCGGCTATTGCGTGCTCCATCTCCAGCCTTTCTTCTTCCTCAATCGCGAGGTCATCACAATGTGCCGATGGAGTGCCCTGAGTGGTTGGGGGGCCGTTCACTATGGTATCGGGGATGCGATCCTCCAGGTGGGAGTCATCCAACCCCCAAATTTTGAGGAAAATCTGTTCGATCTTCGCAGCCCTGCCCCTGAGTTCTACACACTCCTTCGTATACTCCCGTTTCTTCAGCTCAAGCTTCTCGCATAATGCCCCTAGCTCACCGTCGAAATCGTCCTTGCTACGTTCCCAGACACCCGCGAGAACGACGAGATCACTAAACCCAATCATCTCAAAAAATTGGGGATAGTGACCGAAGTCCCATTTTTCTTTTATTGCGTTGATGACCCCCGGGTTGACACAAGCGAATAAGGCTTGTGTGGGTCTGGCGGGACAGGCACATCTCTCCATCCATGGGTATCGTTGTATAATCTTATTCCACCATCCCTCTGGGAAAGCTTCCTTGGGGGGTGGTAGCGCCTATGGGAAAAAAAATTGGCTTAGGAGCGTGATGACAGAGGGGGAAGGGAGGAAGGGGAAGGGGGACGGAGGTGGAAGAAGGTGGAAGAAGGTCCTGCTTCAGCTCTCTCCTCCAGGCCCGATGCGCTCCTGTATCCGCACAAGCCATCTCGCCGGATCGCGCAGGAAGGGCATGGCAAATCCCTGAAGCGCTTTTCTACCCCATGTCATCTGGGGTGTCATCAGAGGGCGGACATCTTCCATGATCTTTGGAAGGCGGGGGGGTTGAGGGAGGGCGCGGGGCGGCATTACGGGGGTAGGATGAGGGGCAGGGTGGGGGGTTGTGGGTTGGGGAGGGGGGGAGAGAGGGGCAAGGGGGGCAGAGACCGTATTGAGGGGGGGAGGGGAGAGAGTAGACAAAGTAGAGAAAGGAGAGGAAGGATAGGAAAGAGATAAACGCTAAAAAGACGTGTGATGACGTCCCTGTCGCCATCTTGGTTTCCATTAGTAACCTCGCGCCTTAACTACCCACATTGATCGGTCTGTTGGCAGCGGCTAGCAGAAAGAGTAAGCAGCAACAGCCCGCAAGAGGAAGAGAAACAAAGCAGATAGTGTAGGTGATGAGCGTTGCGAAACACTTAGTCGAAGTGCACAAAAACACTTTTTCCGAGAGGCACGCGGCAAAAAGCAGGCTCGCTATGGCAAGGTTAGGCAGCAAGGCAAGAAGGAGCAGCAGGGCCAGATAGGCGTTCAGCACAGGCGAAAAGGTACAGAGGCAAGTCATTGCGGTCGCAGCGGGGCATGTCGCATCGTTCTGCATTGCGCAAGGCTGCAGCGCGGTCAGGGAGGCAAAAAGGAGGGTTTCACGCAAGGAGCATTACCACTTCCTCCTCCTCACGCTGCTCCTCCTCCTGGTCCCACTCGGCGAAGAAGTCCATGTCGTCTCCCGCCTCACGAAATTTCCGCAAAAACCGGATCGTACCGAGCTCCTCCCGTTGTCAAAGCCAACAATCGCCCAATGGATCGACGAATAGTAAACCCGGTGTCTAATCCTAATATAGTACCCGTCCTAACCCCGTATAGTACACTTCCTACGTACGCTTCCTTTGTCGTCCATTCGTTTCGTGCATTAATCCGCCGTTCAAATTTGGAAAAGGAGGATGCAAACGACAAAAAAATAAAAGGAAAAAGGAATAGAAAAAAGGAAAAAGAACCAGGAGAAAAGAAGCGGTATTATAGTGGACTAAGGAGAGGCCTACCGTGCTGGTTGAGGCCACGAAAAATTCAAATCAGTCCCATCGGTTGGGGGCTATAATATCGTTCAGCACCCTTGAGCAAGGACCGAGAGCGAGTTGCTTTTCTAAGTCCGTCAGGTATCCGCTCATGGTAGGAAGAGGGGAAAAAAAA